GACTCACGGCAGCCCAGCTCCAGGTTGAGCTGTTGTTCAGCATCTTAGCTGTGGAGGGCAGTGTCACTGGCCCTCATGTGGGATCCGAACCGGGGTCCTCTGGCGTCCCAAGCCAGTTCTTAACCATTGCGCCACTCGGCCGGCCCCCTGTTAACCCTATTTACAGACAAAGAAACTGAGGAACAGAGAAATGAACTGCCCAAATTTATCAGCAGTTAATGGAGCTGGGATTTGAATCCATGTGGTATGGTATCAGGACTGAGGCTGTCAGTATGCCACAGAGCCTCTCCTTAGAGTACTGCTCAGTATAGAAAAAGGTTAGACAGTCCAGAGGTATGTAATGTAAAAATTCCTCCTTGTGCTCTTTCCAGTTTCACTATCTGTAGAAAACTGTTAACAGTGATATAGAGCTTTCCAGTTGTCTTTGTCTGCATGTGCAAATGTTTACTTGGCAAATCTGTCTACATGTGCAGGTTTTTAAAAAATTAATACTTTATTTTTTAGAGCAGCTATAGATTTACTGAAGTTTGTTCAGATAGTACAGAAAGTTCCCATATCCATCCCCCATTTTTCTTTATTAATAACATCTTGCATTAATGGGCATATTTGTTTTTTGTTGTTTTGGTTTTTTTTAAAAGATTTTATTGGGGAATTGGGGGAAGGGAGCAGCGTTGGGGAATTGGGGAAGGGGAACAGACAAGTTGCTGTCCTTTTTGTTCTGTCTAGTTGTGGAGGATGTCGCTTCATTGGCCCATGTTGGTATTATCATTGTGCTCTTCCCGGGTGAGGCAGTCGCTCACCGGCCATTGGACGGCCGCTCACGGCGGCTCACAGCCGCTCATGCCAGCTGCCGGCATCTCACACTGGCTGCTAGCTACTCACGGTAGCTTATGGCAGCCCACTGCCGCCCCGCTGCAGCCTACGTCGTCGCCGGCAACCCACGGCAGCCCAGCTCCAGGTCAAGTTGTTGTTCACCATCTTAGCTGTAGAGGGCGCAGCATCACTGGCCCTCATGTGGGATCTGAACCTGGGCCCTGCTGCTCAGAGCTGGCATCCTAAGCCAACTCCTAACCAGTGCACCACTCGGCCAGTCTGCTTTGAGACTTTTAATGCCAATAAACATTCTCGATTCACTAATTTTCAGATTAATGACACAAATTTAGACTTCTCCTTCGAATGGAAAGTTTGCTTGGAAATTACTTAATTCTTTTTCTCTTTATCAAGAGTTTATCTTATAGTGCCAGCTGCTTCTTTCTGAAGGAAGGAACACATTATTTTTTGACTGGACATTCTGGCTCATTCATGAAGCCGTTCAGCTTCTTGGAGATATCTAGTTGCGCTTTTCATCAGAAGAATGGTGCTCATCAATTTATTTACCATCAGCATCCTCCTAAGACTGCTACGCCCCAGCCATCTTTATCGTCCTCGGCATTCTCTGCCTCTTTCTCAATTTCTGGAACTTTTGGGTTGTCGGGAAAGTCATGACGCATTTTTGCATTGAAAAACAGAAAAATACGTCATGACTTTCCCAACCCAATATGTTTCTGGATTGTAATCTATTATCTAATTGTCCATATTCCTGTTGATGTTATCAATGCCTCTAGTTCAGCGGTTTTCAACCTTCCTAATGCTGCGACCCCTTAATACAGTTCCTCATGTTGTGGTGACCCCCAACCATAAAATTATTTTCGTTGCTACTCTATAACTATAATTTTGCTACTGTTATGAATCGTAATGTAAGTATCTTTTTTTTTCCGATGATCTTAGGTGACCCCTGTGAAAGGGTTGTTCGACCCCCAAAGGGGTCGCGACCCACAGGTTGAGAACTGCTGCTCTAGTTTTACCCTGGAATTTCCTCTGCAGCATCTAAGGATTCATAGTTCTGACAACTGGATCAAAGTTCCTGCAGATATCACGTTCTTATCTTTGAGTGTTTTACAATATACTGGGCTAGGTCTTGAGGGAAATTCTTGTCATTAAGCTGTTATCTTTCAGAGCACTGATTCCTCCTGTCTTGACTTCCCCCAGAATTGTTGTTCATAACAAAATGGGAGGCCAAGGTCATGAGCAATGACTCAGTGATCTTTGGGACTACCAGGTGATGAGATGTTTGTGCAGCAAACATATCGTATTAGTTGCCTTTTGTTTGGTGCTGCTGCATAAACTTTTGCACAAAGGGATAGAAGTTAGAGAGAAAAAGTTCATGAATTCGCACCAATCTGGTTATAAAGTTCATGAGCATCTCTTCTCTTTAAGTGTCTTTTGAGAGCTCTTGAGCCACTTCAGTAGTTTTTCTGCAAACTCTTGGGAATTATGAATCAAATGGATAGC